AAGCGAGAAATTTTCTTCTTTTCTTTACATAAAACATGATCCATACTGCCTTACCATTAGTCAGAATTCAATAAGCTGTGGACTCACACACATCATTGATGTTTGTCTTTGCCAAAGATTATGATCTAAGAACCTCTAGTGGGCTAGTTAAATAATAACTAGACTGAGAATAGATGTAACAAACCATGCACAAACGCTTAATTTATCCAGTTGGTGAACTTTAGCCCTGACAGAAACACATCTGTGTCTATATTCACAAAGCCCAAATACACTACCCTTGGAGAAGTTCAGTATGACACTTTATTCAGAATATGATTTATCTGATCAACCAATTCAGAGAAGAGATGACAGCTATGCTTTCAGTTAAAGACGAATTAATTGCAATACAGCTCAATAGCAGAATCAGAAGTTGTAGATTTTGTTTGATCTTCTATCACAGAAGCCCATGTAGGTGATACCAAGCAGGTAATTTAAATATCCGTGGTTTTAAGGGATTTAACACCAGCTTTGAAAAGCTAAACACTTAGCTCTGCAAGACCTCCAACTTTGCACTAAGAATGTGAGCATCTTTAATAAAAGATTACTCTAAAGTAACTAATCACTGAAAAGAAACCCTAAGCTTCTCAGAGAGAGTAACCTATGCGTCTTCATTTCAGTCAAAACAGATTTAGTGTCTTAAACTTCCAAAACACTGCTGGGAACTGTAAGTTTTCTAACTGTAAGCTTGAAAGGGACCGGCTTATTAATATTTATAACAAAAACAATTCTGTGAATGATGTTCAACCACATAGGTCTTTCTGCTTACAAACTTCAATTTCTTTTACATGAACAATTGACACAGATGAATAAAAGGCATCTACCACTTTATTTTTTAGCCACAAGGAAAACAATATGTTGTATATAATGTACCATCCCTATAATAAACGTTTTATCAATATTCTAAGGAAGAACTCTACCATTGAGTTGATGCAGAACCACAACGACCCTTTAGGACATGGTAGAGCTGCCCCTGTGGGTTTCCGAGATTATAACTCTTTATAGGAACAGACAGCCCCATCTTTCCCTCAAGGAGGGACTGGAGATTTCGAACTGCTGACTTTGTGGTTAGCAGCCCAATGTGTAACCAATACACCATCAGGGCTCCTTTTATAATGAAGAACAATACCAACTTATTCATAAAGACAGAAATCATGTGGTTGGATGTGTCCTACTGAACTGATTTCTTCCAGCTCTGCCATTTGCTTAGCTACCAGGGCTGGAACTGAGTATTAACTTCAGTTTCAAATGGGGGCGTGGAGCATGGCCAGGAAGCTAAGGAACAAGATAATCAAAAGCAGCAGGTCAAGACTAAGGTGAGATGCTAGGAAATCATGAAGAAACCCACCTGTGCTGCACACTCCTCTGACGTGAAATTCTACAGAACAGGCAAGTCCCCACGACAAGTGTGCTGTCTACGATTTTTAGAAATCATTTGAAAATTACATAATTTATAAATAGATAACCTCCTGATTTAAAAAGAAATCATTTCTACTTTATACACTAAAAGCTACTATAACTTGGTTTGTCAGGGTGCTAAAAATAAAATTTTTAAGGTACCTCTACACTGGTTAGCTGCTAACTCTAATTTCCCCTAAAAGGCCTGATAAGCTTAAGAAAACTTAAAAATGAACTGAATATTCCATTGGTACCTGAAAATGACACAGCTGAGTTACAAGGAACCACAGTTAAGGGGAATCTGTCTTATCTGGAACATTGCACTCTCTTGGGAGGAAGTTACAAGGAAATAAATGCAAGTGATAAGGGAAGCACTGTGACTTATGCAAAGGTACGTCAAGATTTGATCCGGATCATCTAGTGGAAAAGAGGGCAGAACACCATCCATACTGAAGGACACTAAATGTCATGGTGCAGACCAGCTCATACGTCACAAAGCAGGGAACTGGCAGATTACGATTTGACGGATTTTGAAGAAGGAACCAAGTGCTTAAGAGGAAATAAATAACGAAGAGGAAAGAGAGGTGTCAAGTTTTACAATGACAGGGATTGGCTGGGTTTTGGGTTGTTGTGGTTTCTAACTAAATCAGTCTTCGGGTGCTTGAAAACATGGTCCCAAACGCTGAAAACTTTGCTAATGTTTATAGACAGATGTGGGAAGTAGTTAAGATGTTACCACAAAATACATGAGAGGAAGGGGGGGGAAAAAAGGCGATTGCAGGAGTGGGGGTGGGAAGATGTTCAATACAGACAACTACTGTTAATTTTTAGACTAAAAACACCATCCCCATTCCACAAGCTGAGTTATTACCACAATTGACAAAACAACAGCGTGTCCATTTTTTCTTCACATTTCAAATTCCTCTTCACAGTGGTGCCATGTTTAGGTACAAGCATCTCACAAGCCAAATCGGTTATAAAGCAGTCACAAAGTTTTAGTTTCCTAGTCTGGGAGATTTATTGGCTACAAGTTGGGCTGCAAGCCACATGGTTGGCAGTTCAAAACCACCAGCAGCTCCTCGGGATGAAGACTGGGTTTTTTTGTTTGGGGGTTTTTTTTTTGCTTTTCAACTTTGTCTACCAAGGTAAAATGTCTGTTTTGTTTTTCTTTTTTAAATAATTTTATTGAGGGCTCGTACAACTCTTTTTTTTTTTTTAAACATTTAGGGCTCATACAACTATCACAATCCATACATACATCAATTGTGTAAAGCGCATTTGTACTTACATTCTCAAAACATTTTCTCTCCACTTAAAGCCCCGACAGTAGGTCCTCATGCCCCCCTCCCCCCTCCCTCATGAGCCCTTGATAGTTTATAAATTTTGTCATATCTTGCCCTATCTGATGTCTCCCCTCACCCACTTTTCTGTTGTCCGTCCCCCAGGGAGGAGGTCACATATAGTTCCTTGTAATCGCTTCCCTCCTTCCTACCCACTCTCCCTCCACCCTCCCTGTTTCGCCACTAACACCAGTGGTTCTGTAGGGCTCATCTGCCCTGGATTCCCTGTATTTTCAGTTCCTATCTGTACCAGTGTACCTCCTCTGGTCTAGCCAGACTTGCAAGGTCGAATTCGAGTCATGGTAGTGGGAGCGGGGAGGAAACATTTAGGAACTAGAGGAAAGTTGTATTTCTCAAGGTTGTTACATCACACCCTGACTGGCTCATCTCCTCCCTTCCCCAAGACCCTTCTGCAAGGGGATCTCCAGTGGCCTACTAATGCGCTTTGGGTCTCTGTCGAACGGATCACTGAAGACAAATGGGTGCATAAGCAAATGTGGCGAAGAAAGCTGATGGTGCCCAGCTATCAAAAAGTATAGCGTCTGGGGTCTTAAAGGCTTGAAGGTAATCAAGCGGCCATCAAGCTTGTACAACTCTTATCACAAAAGATTGGGCTTTCTATACCCGTAAACAATTACAGTCTTGGAAACCCAGAGGGGAGTTGCTATGAATTAGCACTGACTTGATGGCAGTTAAGCCTGCCTTTTAAAATTCTGTCCATCCTTCACACTAATACTCAAATGCTACCTTCTTTAAAGAAGTCTTCCTGGATTCTACCACCCGCTCCCCCACTCCAAACTGCATGTGGTCTTCCTTCTCTTTTTAGAATTTCTAATGTTTCCTACTATGTCTTCGAGTACTTTATAATAGTCACTTGACTGCATGTGCAGGCAGACCTCAAGAGACATTGCAGGTTCGGTTCCAGAACACTGCAATAAATCGAATCCTGCAATCAAGTGAGTCAAGGGCAGTTTCTGTCTCCCCATACATGTCAGTTATGTTTACACCCCAATAACATGATGAAAAAGTTTGCAAAAATGTGAGAATTACTAAAATATAACAGACACTAAGTGAGCATAGGCTGCCAGAAAAACGTAGCTGAACATGCCTGCTGCTTGCTACATAAACTTTCGATTTGTGAAGACAAGCAGTATCTCCAAAGCACACAGAAGTGTGCCTGTAGTTTATTGTTTGTGTCGTTAAAATATAGCTGTTAAATTTATACTCACTGTTTTCAACCCAATCAGATTTATAAAGATACTGAAAATAAAAAGCAATTATAATTAACACCACCCTTACCCCCAGGCATTGGATTTACATCAAAATCAATTTTCAACTCAGAAGCCCACTGTAAGTCAGGGACTACCTGTACTTTAAGTGACCGAGGTAAAGTTGTTATTCTGCCTCAAGCTATGATTAACTGGTAAAAAATTCCAACGTGATTGCCTAATTGAGTGTGTGCATGTGTTTGTGTGGGTGGGTGGAATGGGAATGTGCTGGGGATTTTAACTGAGTATCAATGTCAAGTTTACTGAATCTATCCACTTTCTAAAAATATTTTACAGTGGCCAGAAGTAAAGCGTGTAAACAAAGCTGAGTCTGGAGACTGGTGTGGAACAGATAAATGCTGTGATCAGCCACATGACTTTGAGGAGGCCATTTAACTTCCAGGAGCCTTACCATTTTCTCATTTGTAAAATATGAAAACAGTTACTATGCCATTCTCAGAGAGTTGGGGAGGATCAATAGGCAAACGTTAAAAAAAACAAACTCATTGCTACTGAGGCGATTCCAACTCATAGTGACTCTACAGGGCACTGGAGGGCTGCCCCAATCCTTCTCCCAAGGAGCGGCTAGTGGTTTCAAACTACAGTCCATTGTATAAGCAACCCGCCGTGCCACCAGGGCTCCTACAATCAAAATAGAAGGAAGTAAGCTACAAACTTGAAGGCGCCATGTAAATGTAAACATAGCATTTTCCCCTTGTAATTCAAGTCTCATATTTAAAGTCTCCCAGCGTAACGATCTCTCCAGATAGCTTGCATCCTTCTTTCCAACCAGGTTCCACAAATACGCACGCAGTTAAGTTTCCACAAAAATATAATATACAGCATCACACAGAAAGAAATACGATTACTCACATAATGACTGTTTCTCAAAACTATGGTAAGTGAGCATTTTAACACATTGCTTTACACAACATAAAAGCAAAAAGGATTCACTCACCGCACATTTTTCCACTTTGCCAGCATTATTAGCCCATTTTACTAAAGCTAATAATCGAACGAAGAGTTGGCGTGTTCGGCTGGCAAACTGCACAATTTCTATTTTCCTAGAAAACAAAAGAAAATGTTAATGAATCAGAATACTAGAAATATCTCACAATCAATTTCTTCTGTGCTCAAAAATGAACCAATCTTCATTTCCAACCGCTACAACAAAATTAACCGATCACACTTCTCTAAACATGATTTATCATTTTCTCTTTTTGTACACCACTAGTCTAGGTTTTATTTTTCACCCCAAAGCTGATTAAAGGTCTTAGCAATGAGTCCCATTTTAAAAATTATATTGTAATGAAAGTTTAGTAAAAGATTCCAAATCCATGGATATGTGGGAAAGTGAAAAACAGGACTGGTCTTAAGAGTTATGAATGAGATCCATGTACCTTTTGAGAGGGAGCTCTGGTGGCACCTTTGGGTAAGCACTGACTTGCTAACTGCAACGTCATTGGTTCAAACTCACCACCTGCTCTGTGAAAGAAGAGGTTGCCTGCCCCCAAACAGATGGAAAAAGCCTCAGAAACTCTATATAGGGCTGCTATGACTTGGAGTCGACTCGATGGCTGTGGGTTTGCGTTTGGGGTACCATTTTTAGTAAAGAAGGGGAATTGAAGTTATCCAAACTTGAAACTGTATTCATTCTACAAAAGCAAGGGCCATTTCCCCATTCCACAGGACTATGATTTACAAAGTTGGACCCTCAAAGAACTTAGCCATGCAACTCTCTAACAAACTAATTCCCATGGAAAATTTAGAGATGCTAAATCATCCAAGTGAAGTTCAAAGAACTGCTACCTACAATTTTCAAGGCTCTGGTCTTCGGGAAGCAGATTGCTAGTCTTGTCTTCTGACAGTCTGGGTGAGTTCAGCTCGTAGTCGAGTGTTTAAACATTTGCACCACCCCAGGACTCTAAAATTGAAAGCTAAAGAGTTCCTATCTGCACTGATTCTCTATCTACTACAACACTCTCTCTCTCAATACTCGTCAGTATTTTTATTGCCTTAAAACTGTTACTGAAGCCTTTATTCTGCCAATTCATGTGCTATTAGCTAAACCTCTCCATTTCATGTCACCTACAAAACTGAGCTATCATGGCTTACCTTAATACATTGCGGGACGGGGGTGGGCAGGGGTGGGGGGACACAACACACAACACACACACACAAAACATTCAACAGGTCACGACTGACAACGGGACCCAGCCAGACAACAATTTCCCTCCAAGTGGACTCTGAGGTACAGCTGTTCAATGACCTGCAGAGCCAACCCATATCTCTGCATATCCCCCCAGCAATACCATGGTGCACCACACCAAAAAACCAGAAGCTTCTTCTGCTGAACTATCAGCCTGACGGAAGACAACAGTCTAGCATCTACTGACAGCAGCTATAGCCCACAAAGAGTCCCTGAAAGGGCAGCCAGCAGTACGCTCACTGGTGCGATAAAGAAAAGAATCAAGGATGCAGATTACGCTGTGACTCTTGACCAGTCCATATGAAGGACCTTAAGAGCTAAGCAAGCTGTGCATCTGGGGCAAGGCTGAGCCAGAGCAGAACAGTAAATGCATATGAAGCTCTAGCAGTCACCTCTGTAGCATCTCTCTGCTCCTCTCCCAGAGCAATCATCCTTCAGACACTACTAACTCGGGTTCCCAAGGTCGCTCCTCTACTGGAAAGGAGGATTCTCTTTGTAAACTACTGCACCATGGTTGTCAGCAACCAAACTGACTCTCAAGTGATAGGCAGCAGGAGTCGGCTCTCCAAAGGCCCCGCTTTCCTTTGTGTCTCAGAGGGACAGAACATATCCTAGGTAATATTCCCTTCCTCAAAAACTCACCAGCCCCACCCTGACACATGCCCCATTTGTCTCTTCCACCCCTTCTTTGCAGCCTAGGTCTATCGGTGTTGGGAGCCGGTGGCCATGAAGGCCTTAGCCTCAGCCACGAGCCAAACTTGGCTGCTTCCTGGTTAAGTGTGTCTTTCATTTGCTAAATCTGTGGGGACTGGCCCTGCCTAAATTCCTGCCTCCGCGTTCCTAGCTACGTGCTCTGTAGCACGGGCAGTTGTAAAGTTGACCTTTTCACCC